GTCATATTCATTGTACTGTACACTGTTGAGTACCCAAAGAATTAAAAAAAAATATTTGAGGTGCTTCAATAATAAACCCTTTACACATTATGAGGTTACTCAAATATCCAATTAGGAACATACAATTACAGTGAAGATGCTTCAACTCACCTTTCCATAGGATGAGGTTCCTGAAAGAACCCTCTGACCACTGCAATAAGTTCTAGCAAACACTTTTTTTCAGCTCACAGCCTCTGAATTTGAATGAGTCCTCGAGTACCTTAAAGGGTTCCTAGAAGAACCCAGTGCCTTAAAGATTTCTTTTAAGAACGCTGGACTTTTTCTTGAGTAAAAGGGTCACTGAGTAAAAGTCCAGTGACCCTTTTACTCAAGAAAGCTCCTAAAGAACTGAGGTTTCTGTGAACAATAGACGTGTTTCCTTGTATTGGAATGGTATTGTAATGAATATATATTTCCTAGGCTATAGGAAATACATACTTTGAGTAATGACCTGGAGTTTGAGTGGTCTCTAATCTTAATCTCGATTAAATGAACTGACATATGGACTGAGACAGCAGTTAACACCAATATGTAACTGTGCATTCACTAAGAAATCCTAACTATCAACTCATACTGGCCTGTTATAATACAGTATATTAAAAAAATTCCCTAAAAAGTTCCCTGTGTTTAACACTGGAATTTCCAAGTGACAGGAACACACCTCGATCAAATTCAACTTCACTGGCAGTTTTAGCTGTTAGCCAGCATTAAGCCAGGCAATGTACAGTATCTCTTTATCGACTGTGCTATGAGATAGCATGTTTTACAGCTTCAGATAGTTAAATGTTTGTTTTGCAAACCCAAAGGCTCCGATAAACAGAGGTCACATACACCAACATCATGACACCTGTAATCTGATATAATTCTTAACTTTAATGTGCTTGTCATTCAGTGTGTTTATACATCAGACCTGCAGATTATAGGATCATGTAATAATTTTGTGTCTCCTAAATGTTAATTTTCCCAAGACAATTTGTTTTGGTTTCAGTTTAAAGGAATTGTTCCACAATTTTGGGATTCACACTTTGTCCTGAGAGTTAGATGAGAAAATAAATACAACTCTGGCCCACGTCTGGTTAGTTTAGCGTAGCATAAAGACTGGGGGGAAACAGCTAGCCTGGCTACCAGCACCTCTAAAGCTCAATAATTAACATATTTCAGGTTTTTGTTTCGTCAATACAAAAACTGAAATGTAGAAACTATGACAATATGTTGTTGTTACACTTTACAGTCTTTGTGCTGAGATGAGCTACTCAGCTGCTTTATATTTACCCTACAGACAAATGGAATTGATCCTCCCATATAACTATCAAAGTGAATACAAGTGTTTCCCCAAATTTGAAATTATTCCTTAAACCGTCGTTCATTTTTGAGTTTATACTATAGTTCAATCACAGTTTGTAACTGCACGTGATAATCACTGGATATTAACTGGAGATATATGGTTTTTACATGTCCACAGTGAACAGCACTTGGTATTTTTTGAGCTTCTCGTGTTCCTTCTTCTTGATGTTGCTGTCGCTTGGAATCGCTATATCTATCACTGCAGCCTTCTTCTGCTGTTTGTTGATCAACACAATGTCTGTTGGTTAGCCATCACCAGTTTGTGAGTCTGGATCTTGAAGTCCTACAGGATCTTAGCTCGGTCATTCTCGACTACCTTAGGAGGTGTCTTCCATTTGGACCTTGGGACTTCCAGCCCATACTCATGGCAGATGTTCCCATACACTATGCCTGGGTACAGGTCCTATCTGGTGTGGTAGGTGTGGTATGTCTGATACATACAAAGTTAGTAACTAGCTCCCTGAGACCGTGAGGCCGCTCTGTCCCCAGGTGGGGTCCTCGCCTGGACAGGACATTTCTAGCCTCCTTATGACCTCTTTCACCTTCTCCTTTCGGTCATGTCTCACTACAGTTCAGAGTGTGTGTGTGTGTGTGTGTGTGTCTTTCACTGGGGCATTGTCGCCCCTGGTTCTCCCGTGTTCTCACTCCCTGGCGTTGGGGAGCTCCCCGGCAAGGCTCTCTGCTGTACCCCCTTGGTCTCGGGTCCTTTGCGCTTCGGGGGGCTCCCGGGGTGCCTTGGCTACTGGGGTTCTTGCCTGCCTGTCGCTGGGGTTGGTGCGGCGTGGTTGTGGCATCCCACTCCCACTCAACAGCTACATTCTGTTACAGGCTTATACACACACATTCACAGACACACACACATACACACAGACACATAGACACACACACAAACTAATTAGGTTGTCCATGGTTGTCACAGGTAGAATTACTCTTTATGCTTTTCATTAAATTATTAATTTAAATTTATTGTTATTATTCCAGCTCTCATGGCTGTGCTGTGTTGTTTATTTATTTTGCTTGACTGTTTCTCCTTTTCATTCTCCTCTTCCTCCTTGTTTTCTTATGTGAGCTGTTTATTGCTTCTGTTTGGCTGGTTGTCTCTTTGTTTCTTTTTTTGTTTGTTTGGTTTTTTCTCCACCCCAAGCCCCTCTTCCCCTTCTCTTGCAGGTTTTGTTGCTCTCTGCAATTGGTGTTTTCCTCTGCTATTTCCTGTTGTCCCCACCCCTCATCCCCGTTCTCGTGCAGATGTTGTCCTTTCTCTGTGGTGTCTGTTTGTGTGGTGTTTGTGCCCCCCATCACCATTTCTGCCAAATCAATACATATATAAATAAATAATAAAACAGACAAAGGAGTATATTAATACTCTCTAGTTAAAGTAAAATCTGTCTGGCACAACATGGTATCCAGCTTCTCACACTCTATACCAAACTGCTGGACAGGACAGGTATAATTTAAAAAAAAGTTAGCAACCAGCTGCTGAACATGGTTGAGCATTTAGCAGCTGAAGAGATATTTCCTTTGAGAGTTTACTTCCCTCCCTATTTTTCTTTTTTTTTCTTTCTTCTTTTTTTTGGTTTAAAAGAGAAAACTTTTGACAGGAGTAGGTAAACGGTGACTTGAAATCAATACCATCCATCCATCCATCCATCATCAACCGCTTATCCTGCGTACAGGGTCGCAGGGGGGGCTGGAGCCAATCCCAGCTGACATCGGGCGCAAGGCGTTAAGGTTGAGCTGAACTTTACATTAAACTGGTTCATTTAGCTAACGCTTTTATCCAAAGCGACTTACAACTGCTATATATGTCAGAGGTCGCACACCTCTGGAGCAACTAGGGGTTAAGTGTCTTGCTCAGGGACACACAGGTGGATGTGTCAGTGGGGGACTGAACCTGGGTCTCTCACACCAAAGGCATGTGTTTTATCCACTGCTCCATCACCACCTACTGTACAATAACTGAGGTTATTGAGTGCACAGAAATGTCAGACTGAGCCAACTCCATCATCTGTAGCCTTCACCCAAACACTTCTTCAAATCAGAGAACGGGAATGCTGAGTTTTGGATATTTAACTCACCTTAGCTTAAATTATAACCATGCATCACCTCACGCCAATTTTGTCTCACTGTCACACTGTGCCACCCACGCGTTTCTGCTGGCAGCTTCTTGGCCTGATTTCGAAACACCTAATTGGGTGAAGCCTTACCTATTTGAAGTAAAGGTTATTGCAATCTCACCATCAAATACCACTCCTACCTTTCTGCGTGGAGTGTATAATGATGCATACAGGGCAATTAATGATAACAGGCTATGAAGGTACAATGCTGAGATTATTTTAGTTTTAGATTATTTATTAATCCATATCCTTTGCGCTCTGAAGACCTGAGCCTCTCCCATCATACAAAGGTGATGTTCACCCTGGATAGGTTGCCAGTCTGTCACATGGGCAACATATAGACAAATCACAATCACAACTGCAGACATTACTAATTAGATAATAGGCACAGAGAATTTTATTTTTCTGTTTCAATCACCATTTCTATTGGCAGAAATGAATGTTGATGATGACGTCAGTGTTGAGATGCAATCTGTCACCCCTAGGTCTGTTCGGTAGGTAGATCGATCTGTCATGCTTTGTGTAAATAATTTTGTTTAATGAGCTCATTATAAACCTCATAGATGTGAAACTGGCCTGCCACACCCTTGCACTTCTTTGTATATGTGCCACTCATAAGCGAATCAATTGATTTTTTCGCAGCCTTCTGCTGTCCTTGCTGCTATTACTGGTTTGATTCCTGTAGTAGTCGGTGTGACCTGAAGTGTTTCCGACCTTGTTACTGAAGCTTTGTCTACTAAAAGGACAACTCAATGGAAATGCATTTATAGGTATTCGTTTTGTTTGCAGCATCGGAGTGATCTGCAGACTCCTTTCCTTGTGATTCAACCCACACCCACTTTCTGAAAGCTTTTACAACATTTGTTGTAAACACCCACACCCAGTGTCTAGTTGGTGTAAAACCTTTTATGAAGTATACCCATATCTTACATTTCTTACCAATAATTAATTCAGATCTGGCCAGAAATTATTTCTGCATATGGATTTAATGGTTTGTTTTAGTCTAATTAAATGCAGTTGGGTGTGTTGTCCCTAATAAGACTGTTAGATAGGCAAGGCACATTTTTCTGTAATGTTTTCTGCAATGTGCAATATACTGTATAAAGACAACAAAATTATATATAAAACATATTTATATATTTTTTACTAATAGATTTTTTTCTAAATATGATATTGTCCAGGTCTGTTAGGTACTTCAGTATATAAAACAAAGTTTGCATATGAGTGAGTAACAGGACTTCCTAACAATGGGCTGGTTTGACTACATCGTCATCAATGAAGCAGATGGTAACTGTTTAACCCACCAGAGGTGTGACCAATTCTAATCATACAGGGGATGGGGTCAAGAGAAGGATTTATGAATTTCCCTTTGCAAAGCTGTAAAATCCTAGCGTTACTCATTAACCCGTGAGAAAAACTTTGCTCCCATTTGTAACACCTCTGGTCACATGACTGCCAGCGCATGTTTAAAAGGAGGTTTGTGGACGGAGGGAAAGCAGACACTGAGCTGAGCAACTGCTGAGCATATCAACTACAAGAGACGATAAGGGAAAACTGCTGTCAACTGTCACCATGAAGGCCACACTCGCCACCATCGCTGTCCTTGTACTGGCTCTCAGCTGCACCCCTGAGGCTGTGCAGGTTGAAGTAAGTGCATCACTTAACATTTCTATATGACTGATGTCTTCATGATGAGACTACCTTGGACTTCTTAGAAAAAGCAGTGGCTGTGTTTATCTAAAAGTAATGTAGGTTACAGTGCAGAAAAGGCACAACTTTAAACTTGCATTCTGTATTTTTGTAGATTACAAACCGTGCTGAAAGTGTGCAATCCTCTGCCATGTTACATTATTTAAACTAATGCTACATTAGAAACTTTGGTTAAGTTGCAGTTCTTGAATACCAACATCCGCCTTTTCTTTCAGGAAAATGGATTGTCTTTCTCACTGGAAGCCGTCAAGAGGCTTCATGAGCTGACAGAGAGCAGCCGTGTGGCAGGACAACAAAACCCACGACTCAGGGCAAGCATCATGTACCTCTGTGCCGACCCTATGCTCCCACAGGAGTTCCTGCCCCTCTGTAAGCAAAGAGGAGCATCTGCATCCCTTGCCAGACTAGGTGAGATCATTATGCATTGAACAGCAAGTATTTTTGATGAAGTTTTAAGTGAACATGTCAGGTCATGAATATTGAGGGTCATGGGATTCAACGGTGTAGCTGATGTTTGCCTTTCTGTTTCCTTTGTTTATTACAGCTATGGTTCCCGTAGATGTCTGTGAGATTTGCGCCTTTGCTGCCTGCACCGGCTGCTAAACAACCCCAGCAACCCAGAAGCATCTTGCCCAGCTAAAGACTTGTGATTTTTTCCTCCCACTGAAAACTATTTCAGAGAATTTCTAAGATGATGACTTTATGTTTCCTGAATACAGAGGTTCTGGCCCTGGCCCATTAGCCAATTTATAAATGTTTAATTAGCTGTTAAACAAACACATTTAGACAAAAAGCCCCTAAAAAAATTTGACAAACTGAGGTATGTTTTTTGCAAACTGTTACTTTGTGGCATATTTACTACGTTATTGTTCTGCTGGTCATTCTTTATCATATATTTTATTTTTGAAATTTACATTTGTTACATTTCTATCTCAAGCTTTTTTTACATATTTAAAAATTAAGTTTCTTTTTTTCCATTTGTATTTTTTTTTATCAACATTGTTTTGAATAAAAAGCCTTCACAGATGGATACTGTGTACATTGTACTCTTTCCTGCAAATTCAAACACTCTTACTTTTATTATTACTATATAATTTTACTATGCACAGATTGTTGTAATATAACTTCTATTCACACATCCTACAGACACAGAGCAACGTTAGCATTCATTTGGAGTCATGTATGTGGTCACCTGGCATATGTAAGTCAACATTTACTGGTCATTTAGCTCTGATTTAGTATAAACGTATAGTGTATAGGTGGTTTGTCAGAGCATGTTTGAAGAAATGGCTGCCTACAGGGTTAGTAAACATGCATACAAGATACATGAAATATGAAGTACATGATGTGCGGTATGTACGTTCAGCAGTACCAACAAGGCAAATTCTGGTTGTTTTTTGTTTGTCATTTTTGCTTTATAGAGAAAATAAAATCACTGCATTTGACTTTTCATTCTTTTTATTGTGTATCCAAAGAGACAAACAGTTACAGTGTTTTTAAATTTGAACAGTTTTAGGCATAAATTGATTTTATTAAATTCAATTTAATAAAGAGCTTTAGTATCTCTCTGCCAGATTTATATCTTGGCAATGTGGAGAAAGATTTAAAACAACATTGTATAGGGATAAAATTAAAGTAAATTGATAAAATAATGCAAAAGATGCCATAAAACATTTAGTGGTGGCTTGTCAAAAAGGTTTTTGTAGGGTTGTAGAACAAAAGCTGTTTTCCTCTCAGTTCTGAATTGTGAGGATGTTATATATCAGCATGCTGCTGTTTCCACTCTGATGCTCATCTAGACTCCATTTACCACACTGCGCTCAGGTTCATTCCATGTGATAATTACAACACTCTCCACATACCATCCTCCATAGGCCTACAGTTGGTACTCACATCTGGTGCCATTTATCTACAAAGCTCTTTTTTGGAAAATGATCCCAAATCCCCCATCAGTGAGTGGTTGATGCTCCAGCACATCTCCTGCCATTGCTTTCACTGAGCCTGTTTTTCAGTCAGTTTTCTGTTTGACTACTATTGTATTTTTCTACTAAACTGTTAAAAGTTGTTGCCATAACTACTACTACTACTACTTATGTACTTACTTGCTTGCTTACTTACTTACTTACTATATGGAACCATTACAAGCCATTAATACTCATACACATGTATACACCCTACAGACTCATGTTTCATGTTTTACAAATTTTTTCTAACATCTATTATTTATTAGGAATCTTTTAGTTTGTGAATGTTGTCATTGTTCATAATATTTCCACAATTTCTGAACTACTTATCATTACCATAGAATTTTAAAACTCTTTGATGCAGTTGTTTTACTTGAAATATGTCACATAACAGGATTACTCAGGCTCCACCCTTTTTGCTGCATACATGGCAAGTTAGAAATATCTTCATTTGCAAAAACATACAGTATATCTCAGTTGATATTTATTGTCCTAAATCCTGTTTTTTTATTCTGCAGTAGGAGTTGGATTGTAAGATATCTCTCTTTTTTATTGTGCACTCCAGGGAATATCAATCAAACTGGTTTTGGTTTATTTAATGTGAGAATGGTGTTTGTATTTCAATCTGCTTTCAAAATGCAAAGTTATATCTCCAAGTATCAGCTAGGTTCAAATTATATTTCACATCCATAAAAACAAATTCTAAAACGTGTTTCTGCTTGTTTCAATTATTTCACTGTCTGTGCCATAAGCCTCACTGGACCTTTCCATTAACAATTGTGAATTGGATTTCTGCCCGGTACATCCTTTACAGTTTTCTTGATTGCTAAGACATGTTTAATGAAACTGGGATCCACTTGATCTTTGTCATCACCTTCTTAGCATAACAGAAGTCTTCTCTTGCAAATGCGTTAACACTTGCTTCACACATTTTTCACACTGAGAATCTTCACAGATATTTTTCACACCCTTTTTCAAAACAATTAACACATATCTCGTAGAGCCCAAACTCTACTGGATTAACAGTTTTGAACAAAAGGAAAACATCTATTTACAGCTGATAGAAAATACTTGCATAGTTATAAATCTCTAATGCACCTGTGTGAAACTACTTTGCACAACTCTTCCATCAACAACTCTATCCATTATGTGTTTCTATTTGCAAACATGGATCAAAGAGGCCAAAGACCATATTAAGGGCTATGGCAGACGGGCCCAAGGAAGAGGAGTTTGCATGTTTGGTGGAGAAGTATGGCTTGTCCTTTAGCAATGTGGCAACTATTGCCAGACTTTTTTCAGGAATAGGTAAGTCACAACGTCACTGTTTTCCACTGTGTATTTCAGATTTACATGTAATTGTCTTACTTATTAGTATTACTTGTAATTTTTTCTTCCTTCCATAACACCTTCCAATTTAATATTTTGCCTCCCTCATTCTAATACGTTCAAATTCCATGTTATACCACTCATTGTCTGGGAGAAATAATGTTGAACAGAAATCGAAGTACATGAACTTAAACCTTCACTAGCCGTGTTTCCATCAACATTTTTTAAGATTTTTTAAGTAGTAGTTGAAGTATTGCATTGATGGAAACGGCAAAATTCGGGGAAAAAAATCCTTAATTTTGCAAAAAAGTTTTTATGCTCGGTTGAGCTGGTTTTTGCCTTTGTCAAAATCGAGTTAATGCACTAAACTAGCAAACTTGTGACTCACGTCTGATCAGATGTTTCCACTGTTATATACTGATATTCCCATAATGTGCATGGCTGGTAGCAACTTGCCCACTTGAAACACATTCCTGAGGACCAATGGCCAAAGATCAATGGCCCTCAGTTCCATGCAACTGATTTTGTTTCTGGTTTGGAACCCATACGTCTTGTGTAACGTCAACTAGTGTTGTAGTACTCGAGACCGGTCTTGGTCTTAAGACCAGTCTTAAGACCAAGACTCGGTCTCGGTCTCAACCGCATTTGTACTCGGTCTTGTCTCGGTCTCGGACATTGAGGACTCGGGATTTTATTTCAAGACCAGTCAAGACCATAACTTTGGGAATATCATTAAATTGCTTTTGCATTGTCTGATTTGTTAACATCCTAACTTTGAATGGAAGTAAAACATATTGCTTCAAATGCAACTAATAACCCTAATTACTGACTCACCCCTCCCTGCGATGCTTACGTATTATGTGGGTGTTTTAATGGGAATGTGGATCTTTCAGATCAATTTGTGAAGTACCTATGATCTCGTTCCACATTTTATTGCGTGCCGTGCTGGTCTTGGTCTTGACTCGGTCTCACCCTCCCTCTGTCTTGGTCTTGACTGCTCTCAGCCCCTAAAAGTCTTGGTCTCTTGGTCTCTTGGTCTCTTGGTCTCTTGGTCTCTTGGTCTCTTGGTCGCTTGGTCGCTTGGTCTCGGTTTGGGCGGTCTTGACTACAACACTAACGTCAACTTCTGACGTACCTGGTTTGGTTTGCTCCATATCAGCTGAGGGAAACACACCCATTTCGCTTTTACTTTTTTTACTCTTTTTTGCAACATTTCAAAAGTCTGCTTAAAATTCGCATGACAAAGAGATTGGAAACATGGCTACTGTGATTATGTTTTCCTGGACCTCCATACTCTAACCAGTTACTGTAAGAGTTATGTAATACATGCCGCATTCAATGAAAATCAGTGAACTATACTCGTCCAGTACTTCATAGTTGTTCATTAACAGACATTTTGTCTTGGTGTGTGTGTGCGTATGTATCTGAATATTGTTCTTTTTTTTTTTTCTTTTTCTTTTTTTACAATACATTGGTTAAATTGTTATTAACAGTTTTTCTCATTTGTTTTAACACATTTGTCCCCTCTGACTTCACATTTTCAAAACAGTTCACACACAGGCCTAAATCAAAATTTGCTGGCTAAAATGACACATTCTGTCAACACTCACATAAAATGAAAAAAATATGCAACAAAATCAAATATTTCCATCAAGCACCACAACTTATGGTCAAATTATTATATTCTGTCAATCAATCATTACACAATGAACAACAAAAAACAAAATACAGTTATCAATATGACCCAGTTCAACCTTAACTTGTGCTGTATCCCTGTGCCATTTGTTGATACAGCATGATTTTTTTCTATTTTATTAGAGATAACCAACCCTGCTGCACACTTCCACTTTTTACACTTTTTTTAGATGCCCTGTTAAAACACTGTAATTCTAGGAGATTCAAAAAGCATGTCAAAATTGACATTATGATTATATGATTATACATCTGCATTACTGTAGACACAGTTTGTTCTGCCAACAGGGTATAACAATAAAGGTGAAATACACAGTGGAAAGCAGTAATGTTGTGACTTACCTATTTTCCTTCTGAAAAAGTCTGACAATAGATGCCACATTGCTAAAGGACAAGCCATGATTGATGGCATGGTCAATACTATAAATGTTACCTGAATTTTATCAGAATCAGCTTTTATTGCCAGGTATGTGTACACATACAAGGAATTTGACTCTGGATTGTACAATGCTCACGATGCGCTTACTTATACAATAATACAATAATAAAATCCGACACAAGCTACAGTATAGAGAACACATATACACACTATCAACAAAAACAATATAGACAGATTGAGATAATAATGCAATGAGCAGAGTGTAAAGTATGCAGGAGTAAATTATTATTACTATTATTATTATTATTTATTATTATTATTATGTACATGTTGGAGGTGGATGAGATATACAGGTGCACATACACATACAGGCATACATGTACACAGTGCAAAGGATGCTGGAATAAATAAGTATTATGTGCAGGCATTATGTACTTGAGGTAGGTGAATTTGGTACATGAATATGGATATGAACAGTATGAACAGCTCTGAAATAGAGAACGAGAGAATGATGAATAAATAATTGTGTGTTAACCGTTTTGAAACTTGAGCTCTATTTTCCCTTCTTAATGCTACTCCTACACCACCCCTTCTATTGTCTATACCACATCTTCTATAGCTAGATAAGGACTGATTGCTGATTGAAGAATTGTGAAAAGGAGTTTCACACCTGTGCATTAGAGATTTATTATTATGCAAGTATTGTCTATCTGCTGTAAATAGATTTGTTTCTTTTGTTCAACACAGTTCAACAGATAGAGTTAGGGATCTTTCTATGAGATCTGTGTTAACTGTTGTGAAAAAGGATGTGATCAATCAATCAAGAAAAACTGTAAGAGTTATATAATACATACAGTATTCAATGAAAATCAATGAACAACAATGTTCATTTATGTAACGTTATAGTTTTTAATTAACTGCTATTTTATGTTTATTTTATGTTTTTATTTTTTCATTTTGTTTTTACAATACCTTGACAGTGGTTATTTAAATCAGTATACTAGGGAGCCGGGTCTCTAATAGTGATGACTATTTGAAAGTTAAAATTAAGTTCTAGGTTCATACTTATATTTTGGTGGTCTACAAGTAAATGTTTGCATGCATCCCCCATCCTCAGTCTGAAATGATCCATTTTATCTCCTGCCTCTTTATCGACAGGTTGGCTCAAAAAACGGCAGAAAGTCTGCCTCAAAGGTACAAAAAAGAAATAAACATGAAAGGTGAAGCCTCGATTAAAAACCCGCCAAAACAAGTCGATTTTGTGACTTTGCTGAGAGTTATGAAACAATGTCTCGGAGTTCACACAGTCAGGCTACAATTCATTGCTGCTGGAGGAGCTGCAGACAGTGACTCTCAATGAAGTCTCACATCTGTTTAGGAATCAGCTTCTCCTCCTCACTGGCAAGTTGACGTAAGAATCTAACTTCTTATTTAACTCACTTAAAATTCTGTATCTTGAGTTGACATGATTCATAACTGTTACAGTAAAGCATTTCAAGTTTATGAGAAAATAAACTTTTGCACTAACGTACATCTTACTGACTGTGGAACCAAACAAAAAAGTTGACATTTGCATCTGGAAAACGTCATCATTTGCAAATATCACAGCTGTTCAAACAAGTGACCTATATGGATCAGCTCTGTGGCTGCTTTCTTATCAGACAGCTCTGTGACGGATATCTGTGGGAGTGAAACAAGGCATGAGATTTATTAGGGTGCAGTGAGGCATCAAATGCGTTCAAATGAAACCCAAAGTAAATAATAAAATATCGTGCTGACGGAGGAAACAACAGAGATAGAGGTTATAAACAAATTTAGTGGTTATAAACTAAAAAAGAGGATCTAATGCGCTTACAGTAGGCTAGCCAGAGTCCCCCTACCTTTACTCCCCTCACAGTTTTCTTTGTTAATAAATCACTCACTAATCTGTTCAGACACCTTATAAGAGGCCGAGCAGATATACAGTTACCACAGAAGAAACTCTCCTCTAAACTGAGAAGCATCTTGCATCATCTGAAAATGAGAGTCATCAGTGTTGCCCTGGTTTTGATGGTCTGTGTGTGCATGGGAGCTGCAGATGTGCAAGTTAGGGTGAGTATCACTTTTTTTCAATCAAGCTATTTGGTTTGTCTTTTTCTTTTGACTCTTTTTTTTATTGTTCTAAATGCATCTAGTAGTAGCTGACACCAAGGAGCCACGACTAAAGTGGCTATGTAGATCATTTCAGCCCCTGTGCCTATTTATCATTCCCATTACAAGCATGCATTCATTCTCAATTCATTCCACCTGCACTTGGAAGATTTTAATTGTGCCAGATTTGTGTCATCCCTTGAAGTTCTTCTTGTTCCCTCCCCTCCAGGTTGGAGACAGGAGCTTCCCCTTGGAGACGGTGAAGCAGCTGAAGGAGCTGATGGATGTAGACCAGAGCGTTAGCCCTCGCCTCGCTGAGACAAGCGTTGTAGCCGTTTGCGCCAACCCTCTCCTGCCGCAGATCTTTCATCCTGTGTGCCAAGGGAAGGGAGCAGGCATCGTTTTCTCAGAACTAGGTAAGACAGAGCAAAGGAGGAACAAACAAATAACAAATACCGAAATAACAGACATAAAATATAGCATCATATTAGAGTGAGTTCCTCTCGAGTCTCCTTCTAATCTATATATGAAGGAATGACTCTTATGTGAAAATAATATTCATCTCTAAACAGCATAGTGCAGAGGGTACGCTATCTTCAAGCATTCAAAATTAAAGTGCGGCGCTGGCATTATTTAATATTCTTGTTATTGTCAACCAGGGGTTTGATGATATCAGCATGACAGAGTGTGAGGGTGAAATTAGCGTTGAAGATTTGTGTAGCAGCATTTTGGGTAACCGTTAAAAACAATAAACGCAACATTTCAAAATGCACCTTCTTTGTTTCGACTGTCAGTCGAATAAAAAACTACTTTTCCAGTCATATATTTCATCATTGAAAATTTCTTTACAAAAAGTTCAAAAATATATAGCTGTTTAAAAAGGGCTAAATTAGTCACTGTTTTTTATGAAACATTACTCAAACAAGAGTAAATTGTACATTTCTTGAGGACTATTTTCTGCTGTGGATTAATACACATTTGTTGCAATTCTGAATATTTATTAATTTCATTAAATGAAGGAATATGTCACCTAGCTCATTTGGCTTTGGCTACACCGACAATTTTGTTGGTTTTGGACTTTTAATGGGATTTGTTGATAATAATAAATAATAAATAAATTAGACTAATAAAATTAGCCTACCAGCACCTCTAAAGCTTGCTAATCAATTAGTTATATCTCACTTATTTAATCTGTACAAGGATCCATACAAATATGAGAGTCAGATCAATCTTCTTGATAACCAATCCGCTCAACACCTACTTGTTCATTGAGCATCAATGTCAATATTTGGCAATTCATACAGGAAACAATACACAGGCTCTCAGAGAGGCTGTTTAATCCACAGTTTCATTACTCAGGCACGCGCTCTCTCTAAGACTTGAGATTAAAGACACTGACAACAGACGCAGGCTCACAAGAGTTCACTGTTTACACATTGTATTATGCACATCCTGCAACTTCCGCACCATAAAGTGGCTCTGGAATGATAATGGCAGACAAGAAGCCTGTGAAAAGCTGTGCAAATAGTCTTTGGGGACCATTAAAGCTCATTAGGCATAGACACCACCCTTGTTGCTTTACTGAGACGGATACGGATCCCATTCTCAATATTAGCAGTATTTCATAAAACTGAAAAGCTGGCCCTTTGGGTGGTGCAAAAACATCTTTTAGGTCAGATAAATATTTATGTTTCTCTTTTTCCCCCTTGTGCTTTCCAGGGTATATCATGGCATCCCTGGATCCTTGTGAAATATGTGCCAACCCCTCCTGCTATGGGTGTCTGAACTAAGGCTGCCATCTGCCTGACACAAACATATCCACTGAAAGCCTCTGGGGGCGTCATCCTCCATAGTTCTTTTACATTTCTATGTATAAGGCATCCATGGACATCGACAAAAACATCCTGTCACCCAGCAACAACGTCAAACAGGTTTCAAGGCTCAGTGGTCAAAGCACTGGATTTTTATAGATATATAAAAAACACTGAGCCATTCACCATTTTTGTTTGTGTTTAACTTTTGCTAGATGCTGTTCATACATACATAGTCCCTTGTCAGTAAAGACAGACTTTCTGCAGTGTTTGAATATTACTTTGTTGTCTTCAACTTTTAATTTATTGAGTCTGATGCAGCTTCTTGGAAATAAAAATATGTATACTTTGCATCCTTGAAAGCAGTTTTTACCTTTTGTTTCAAGAATATAGTAATGCACACACTCTGTATCTTACCATAAGACAAAATCACACACACACACACACACACACAGTAGTGTTTCCATCACTTCAAAGGACATTACATTGACTTACATTGATTTGCTGGAGACTTACCCTTAACTGTAACTATTACATCTGCCTCTAGAAAGGCAAGTCCCCACAATGTGACTGTGTAAACAGATTTATGTCCCCATTACATGAGTAATACATGGCTACACACATGCACACTCATAAAGTGAGTTATCTTTTTAAAAGCTGAATGAAAAAAAATGAAGGGACATAATGGTGAGTCAACAACAACAATGGTGAATAAGCCAACACTAAAGTAATGAGAATGCAAATTGTCACTATTTAAGTCAAAGATAGTCTCTTTAGAAGATGAATCACTCAGTTTCAAATGGTTCACATACCGGCTGCAAAGCTGATAACTTGTGATAATTTGTGTGTACACTCTCCTACTATGGTTCAGAGATCTGTCTTTATTTGTTCAGATTCTTCTCATCAGATCTTCTCACACATGTGTACAGCAATCTAAAATTCTAATCTAAAATTTCATCTTACTGGATATAGCCAACTAGAGCAGCTAATTTGTGTCAGCAGCAATCAGGGATGTGTATTGTTACAGCTATCAGATGTCACACATGATCATCAGTCATTGAGGGAACTGCCATTTACTATGTAAAGCTGCTCTACTCTCTGCATTGTGTTTAAATTGCATTCGCTGATCGATAAACCCTGCAATAATGTGAGTTTAATAGATCAGTTATTGGACTGGTCTAATGAAGGTGATCAACCTCAACAAACACGGTGTGTCCAATCTTTGATGGCTGATGTGCGTTTCCATTCCTAATGTATTTTCACAGTGTGGTAAAGCCACTTTTACTTAAGTAAAGGCTCTGAAAAATTCTTTCACCACTGCACTTTTCCTCTATCAAAGTAAGGTTTCTCTGTAGTGAATTAATTAAGTTCACAGCCAAGGAAAGCAAACAGAATCAGAGGGAAATGGTCAGATAATGTAGAAATGAAAATAGACAGATACATTTGAATACAGTAGCTAAAACACATGACAAAATAGATTAAACACAATAAAAATCAAAGTGGTGAAACATTTGTAGGCTATTAAAAGGCTATTTAACGAAGACGGATGTAGCAGGGAGTGAGACCTCTCGCCTCTGCTTCCCCTTGACAACGTCTGATGACCTCTGGCGGTGTAACAATGTGTCAATTTTAAAATAACACTTGTGACTATTCCAGCGAACATTATACACAGTTACAGATCTCACAAACAGACATGTTTCCCACTCTGTATATAGAAATAATATGTACTCGACCTTACGGTAAGACCAGTCCATGAAATCTTTTTCATCGCCTCTTTGGTGTTTTAAACTGATTTGAATAAGACACGTGGCTCGTTGGTCTAGGGGTATGATTCTCGCTTAGGGTGCGAGAGGTCCCGGGTTCAAATCCCGGACGAGCCCTTGCTTTTGAAGTTTTCCAGAAAGACAAATATGCACATATTTTAGCAGTAACTCTCAGTCCACGTATGTGTAGTGCCAAAACATACAGAACATATACAAAAACATAAAAAATTGTGACATAGTTAAGTATATATATAGGTAAATTATTAGTTGTCCCATATTTCACAGCTTTAAGTTTGCTCTAGATTTTGCTGGATCATACAGAATACAGCCTACTGTAGCCTATTAGGTTGTTCCAGCCCTTCATTGAAGCAATATCTATTTGTTTTAAAAGAGCTTCTCAAAAGTGTGGATGTTTGCTTTTTTCTGACTGTTTATAAACTAAATTTTTAAGCATCATATCGGAAAAATAGCAGAGGTGGAAAGTAACGAATTACAATTACTGACGTCATTGAGTAGGTTTTTGTGTACTATGAGTCTTTTTGAAGTAGATTTTTAAATCTGTAATTTTACTTTTACTTGAGTATGTTTTGTTTAAAGTAGTAGCCTACCTTGCTACAATGCAGCTGCATAATAGTGTCAATCGGTAAATTAATGCCAATCAGAGTTACATTTACAATTAGGCTACAGATTTTAACCATCTCTCCTCAGTGAACTCCTTGGCTGCGGTCTGAGAACATTTTCTAGTTCAGTAAACCTATGTAGTAGCCTATGAAGATTTATGCTTATGGATTTAGCCCTACCATGTTTTTAAGGAGTCTGTTCACACTGATATAAAAAGGTTCATTTGGGAAAGTTAAAAATATTAAACAGTAATATGGCATGTGAAAGTCCGGTCCCCACAGTGTCTGCTTAGAACAAATGTAGTTGAGGACCCCTGATATAGAGGTTTGTTAAATAATAGCCTACTTCCATTGGTGGTTAAAAGTATGTTTTTATAGTTTAGTATGCCTTGCTCCAAACAGCCAAAAAGACATTGGTGCATGACAGTGTTGGTTGGCATTAGTAACCTGCTGGTAACTAGTTATTTATTGAACTAACACTTATGAAATCCCATTAAAATGACCACTTGTTTGAATGTAAATAGGGATTTGACTTAATATAGAGTCCAGTGTTTCCCGTTTTCCCAGTCCAGTTTGGCCCGCCAGAGTTTAATCTGTTCTGCCAGTTTCCTAATGAAGCGAAAACATTCTCAAACTTCTCATTATGACATTAAATGTCATTGTTTTTTGCCATTGATTTGGCAAAATATCTGTCAAACTAACTAAAATTGAAAGCGCCATATGGCTTTGTTCCCTTATCAAATCACAAAAGACTTAAATTCAATGTAATAAGTATAACAAGTATAAATAAGATATTAAATCAATATAAATAACTTATTTAAGAAGGTTAAAAAAGTAACTAATAAGTGGGCCTAACTTTTACTCTGAGTAAATTTTAAATGAGCTACTCTTTACTTTTACTTGAGTAGATTTTTATAACAGTAACTTTACTTTAAAAAAGTTCATCAAAGTAATCGTACTTTTACTACAAGTAGAATATTTTTGTAATTTTTCTGCCTCTGAAAAATAGTCAACAGATCAATCACTAATGAAAGTAATCGTTAGTTGCAGCCTTGCTCTAAATGCCGATGTGGAAAGTAAATAAGTTAGTCATAAGTTATTCCGTTCCTCATGTAGGCTACTTAGCTACAGTTTAGAGGTAGGTCACTTGTAGGATAGCCTATTAAGCTATTGTCATACATATCAGAAGGAAATATTGTACTTTTTACATTTACTTGACAGTTATACTTTGCAGATTAAGATTTTTTAAATAAAAAAACATTTACTCAGCCTTTATAACGTGATGTATTATCATGGTTTGTATTAACCAGCACTATATAAAGTAGTCCACAAAAAAAATCTCCCATAAACCCTTGATAATAATAATGATATGATTTAATGATAATTTTACATACATAATAATATAACACTGTGAGAGGGGTCATTCTTCCAAAATGAGTACCTTTACTTTGAATGCCTACATTTGTCTAGTGACGCTTCAGTCCTTCTCAGTGTGCTCATTCCTCTCAATACACACCAGAGGGCGCAATTTACTAAACTATATTAACTTCATTCTGCAGACCTCAGAGCATGGTGTTAGCACGTCATAGAACCTCTGCATAAATCTATTACTTTCATGCAATGATTTCAGTTATGTCTTCTCTTTTTATTAGCTTTTCACTTCAAAAAGGAAAACAAGTGCATGTGAATAAAATTAGGGTTAGAAACAGCTCATTGGTTGACAGCAGCACAGTCACCTCAGTAACAACATACTGGTAACTGGTAATGTTCACCATATATTATAAAGAGTTAACTATACTCTTACAGGTATGACAGGTATATTACTGTAATTATCTGTGTCCATGTCATTTTGTGTCATGCCCTGACCATGTTCTGGCTCTTTTATTTAAAAAAAAAAGACAACTTGAGAGTTCAATGTCAAGGTTCTTTATTTGTCATAAAACATGCAGTGAAATGAAGGGGGTGCTCAGTTAGAATAGAATATTTGAATAAAACATGGGTCATAACAACAGCTGAGCAGACAAAAATCTAAATTAAAGTACACAGCAACTAAATGTTTCCAAACGATGGTTTCTGTCATTTTAGGTAGTTCTTATAATAGACTGTGATATGTTTGGTTTTTATTAGTTATTTGATACTTTGAAATAACAAGTGTCTGGCTTTTTTGCAAGTAGGCCCTGTAACATGTTGTGAGAATTCAAATGGATGATGACAGATCACAAATCTGTGTGTATTTGGATTATTGGGGTTATCACTGTGGAAGTCCCCCGAGATGACAGCAGTTAAATTCAATTAAAAATTTTCAGTAGAATCTCACTAAATTCCTAATCCATGTTTAAGTTCACGTAGATGATGTGAAGGGAATACATTTTTACAAACGAGAGAAACATATTTAAAGGATCAGAAATTGCCAAAAGAAATTTTACCAATATTACCATTACCCAATATCATAGCTCAGCACAGAGGGTAGCAACACACCACTCTTTCCCGTAGCCCTTCCCCTTGCATTTGGGCAATGTAAGTGTGTTTGTTATCAGTCTCATCCAGCCAGTTCTCAGTGAGCATAATGCACTCAAGTTTGTTGTTACATATAATGTCATTAAAATAAAAAAGTTCTGTTAGATATGCATCTGACATTTAGCAGTACTAAGCACCAGAACCTGAATATGACATAAGAGGTTTAACATAAAAAAGATTATCCAGGTGAGCAACAGCTGACTGATCATGGTAATATTTTACTTCAGTTATGTGTATTGTTAATTATTACTAAAAAAGTGTATGTAGGCATGGGATTTTCCTGATTGGGCAAACTATGAGAAGAATACTTAAAATGTCAACTCATGACTTTCCATGATCCTGCCTGATTTGCCTGTAGGTGATGTTTAAAGAGAGAGATATCAGTAAGAAAGAGAGAGAGAGAGAGAGAGAGAGATCAGTTCTGTTGTGGAAGGTGGTGAAGT